TTCTATTCTATTCTATTCTATTCTATTCTATTCTATTCTATTCTATTCTATTCTCCTGTTAATTTATCGTGGCATTGAGACTTGTTTTGCAATGTGTCTTAGTGAACACCTGGTTGCTGCTAAAGAAGTTTTAAGCGTTCAATCTCTGCCAGAATTCGCATTACCTCAGGCTCCAAAACGCTCCCAAGTCATGATCCAGGCATAGAAAATAGAGGGCTGTGGTCCTGTTCCTGTCAATAAATTTACTAGCATTGACACACTCGTGTTTCATATCAGCTGCACATTCCTGTGCTGTTGTGTTGCCCTTCACTATCCTCCGAGGCAGTTTTCAAATATGCACTGCAGTGGTGGTGGAGCATGGTGGGCGATTTTAATTCCATTTAATAATACAGATGTTCAAGACCATGTCTTAATTATATTATCTAGGCCAAATACTGCTAAATGTTTAACATTCTTCAACTTCATACTCTGAAAGCTGTGTTAACCAACAAAAACTGAATTCAATCATTTCTAAATGAGTACTGCACATGTTAAAATAAAACAAAAGAAAACATTTGAAATGTTGTAAATTAGCTGTTTCTCTCAATAATAAAATATTTGGGGCCGTCTTGAATCTCACTGCTCACTTCAGGTGATACAGAAGCAACACACAGATGGAAAAGTGGTTGTGCTAGATGAAAAATAAAAAAGTCCAGCTGCAGAAACGTGTAACTAATTTACCTCAATTGGCAACGAGTCAGTTGTATGACCGTGTATAAACAGAGCACTATAAAGATGTACGGTCTAAAGGTGACTCGAGAGGTAAAGGTGGGCAGAGGTTCAACATTTCACAAAAAGGTTTTTTACAGTAATGCTGCTTTAACAAAGAGGACTTTTTTTATTAGTCCTGATCATAACTTTTGCTGTGATAAATGTTGCACAATTTGTGGGCATTTATATTGCACTTTCCTAAACTGCTCTGATAAAACCTTCTATCCTTCTAAAAAGCCCCTCATAGTAAATGTGAGTGTGTATGTGGTTTCATGTCTGGCCCTGTGATGTACAGGCGAACTATCCAGGGTTTACCCCGACTCTCCCCCAGCTAGGATTGGCTCCGGCCCACCCCGCCCCCGACCACGCTTGGGTGATATAGATGATATACATAGTGAATGGATGGATGAAAATGAAAATCAACAAGAGTAAATACCTTTTTTTAAACAATGTTTGCACAGGACAAAATTATTTGTTCAGCAGTAATATTCATTGATTCATTTGGTGCTATTCATTGAGTAGTTGACAGGAGTTGTTTCTTGTTGTTGCAACAGAAATGTACGGCTCCACCTGAAAGGCGGTAGACTCAGAGGAGTAATTCATCTATCTTGGTGCTATTGGGTCCAAAGGAATTTGTGTAGTCTAGAGCCAGGTCACAAAAAGTGTAAAATCTGTGTGGAAAACTCCTGCGTCCGATTATGCGTCTCCTGCCGGGCGCAAGCAAAAAAACTTCCCAGAGAAACAAATCTTCTCGTAAGCGTGATGAGGTTTGTCAGGAGTAAGGTGTGTATGTTTATATAATTTTGTAATGTAAAAAAAGAGCCTGTTGCTGAAGGTGCTTCTGCTCGAGGTCGGCCCTTGGTGCAGAGGGTGAGTGTTGTTGTTTTCCACGATACTGTGCAGTTTTCATAGCATCCTCCCTGCTGTCAGTCACCACCAACGAAGAGTCCAGTTGGATCCCTCAGGACGGAGCCAGGTTTGATGATCCTGCTGACCATCTTGCTGTCCGCTGCCCCTTAGCCCGCTGCTACTACTACCATGATAGCACAAACATGGAAAGACCGGAGCTTCCTCAGGAAATGGAGTCGGCTCAGCCTCAGTGTTCTTGGGCCGGTCCAGTTTCTTTTCCAGGTATACTCCAAGGTATTTGTGTTCCTGAACATCCACAGCGTTGATGGAGATGGATGTGGGCGCAGATTTCCTTCTATGAAAATCCACCACAAGCTCCTTAGTCCTGGTGGTGTTGAGATACAGATGGTTAGTTACACACCACCTGACAAAGGAGTCCACACCGCCCCTGTACTCCTCTTCCTTCCCCTCGCTGATGCAGCCAACAGTTTCAGAAACCTTTCGGAGTGGCAGGACTCAGAGAGGAACTGAAAGTCTGAGGTGTACATGGTGAACAGAAAAGGGGACAAAACTGTTCCCCGTGGAGCCGCAGTGCTGCTGACCACAGTGTCAGACATGCAATCCTGCAGTCTTGCATACCCTGGTCAATCCGTCAAATAGTCTGTAATCCAGGAAACCAGGAGAGGGTCCACCAGCAATGCTGTCAGCTAACTCGCTAGCAGGAACGGTCGGTGTTGAATGCACTGGAGAAGTCAAAGAACATGATTCTCACAGTAATTCTAGGTCTGTCCAGGTGGGCACCAGCTGATAAGACCCCAGCCTGTGTCCCAGCCGTGTGAGCCCATTGGTCTGTCCACAACTTCAGACAAGGGATCTGGGTCACCAAGAAGATTTATTCTTTCCAAGTAATAGAAGAAACCAAGGGGGAATGGCCTTGGTCTGGCAGCTCTGGTGATGGTGTGAGGGATACTCAGGATGGTAATTGTTGGTATAAAAGCAGTGGAGGGTGGAAGGCAGTTGATCGGTGGTTCTGATCGACCAAATACCTTTGCTGGAGATTTGTTCGAAAGACCAGTGAGGAACAATGTCGAGGAAGGAAGACTGGGGAATCTGAGGTTCTGGATTGAAACATGTCGCAGAGATAAGACTCCAGCTTTTCAACAAGAGAGCACTAGAACTATGAGATTG